AATTTAATCTAATCTAATCTAATCTAATCTCTTGAATGAACCGTTTGTTCATTCTAATCTAATCTAATCTCTCTTTTTTCTAATCTAATCTCTTGAATGAACGAACGTACAAACGAATGAACCGTTTGTTCTAATCTAATCTAATCTAATCTAATCTAATCTAATTAGTACTGTAAAACACGATCTGTTCAGAAAACACCACTAACGCATTAAAAAGATGATCTATCAGAGGTCATCTCTATATTTGATGTTTATAAAATTAACATTTTAGCTTGTATCTGTTTCAGTGTTCCAGAATGTTCAGGTACTTATTTATTTTTTATAGAAAAACTTAAGTAATTCTGTTTTCCTAGATTTAAATATGAAGCAAAATGTAAAAACAGGCTTGCAAAGCACATTGATTATTTTTGAGGTGGATGCAAACGTCATTTGTTCTTCCTGCATCTTTCAGGTATGGTGGTGAATATTTATGTCTCACATCCAAAGCCATCAAACAACTTGAGTTCTATTTTTACATGTCACCGATCAGAAAGCGCTTCCGTTTCATTTGTTCACTTCTATTTCTGGTATCCTGTTTCGGCACGGAGTAGAGCGAGTGAAAACTGCAGCAGAGCAAGAAAATGTGGTCTGTTTGTACTTCGCCAGTCTAAGCTTATAGCATCATCGCTAAGAGTTAGTGTAGGAAACCAAAACCTCATCAAAAAGCGAAGTTTGAACCCTGATTTTAAAAGCAAAGTTTCAGCCTCGTGGGCAGAAACTGTGATGTTGACTCAACATGAGTCGTGCCTGAAAGCTCTGCCTCATAGTCTGCTTTTAGAAACCCACAAGTAAACCTGCAATCTGAGAGCAAATGGTTGGGGATTTGCCAGACTCTAACATCACCATGTTTTTTTTTTCAACTCCTTTTTATCTCAAATGGAAATAGATAAATAAGAAAAGATGTAATCTGTTTGAATGTGCACTCCACTAGATTAGATACATCTCAGGTTACGCCTCACATCCTGGGAGTGAAGGGTTTCCTCTCAACAGATCCAGTTTTATGAGGGAGTTTGGTTTCTTTAATGTAACAACATCCTGCTGAGGTGATTACACCCCCCCCCCCCCCCAGCTGAAGGCGTAATCCTCCTTATCCTCACACCTGGTTCTAGAAGTGTAAATATACCTCGCTCTGTTGGAAAGATGACCTGCAGAAACGTTTCGCCACAATTATTTCATCGGGGAACATTGGCGAGAACTAATCAGAACCATTGGAGAATATAATGCTCAACTTGCAGTGCAATGGGGGTGGGGGGGTAGGTCAGTGCTGATGATCGGGTGACATTGCGCATCCTCACCGCAGACCTCCACTGGACCGGTGAAAGACAAGACAAGAAGAGCTGCAGTCAGACTGAGACAAAAGGGTCAAAACGTGATACTGATGCGGCTCATGGGGGGCAGCTGAGTAGCTCTCCAGCTTCCTTTTGTGCTAGCTTGTGTGGCATGAGCAATGACCCCTGACATGACCTTTTGACCACCACTGGTCATGTCTCATAACTATCTAAACTTTGTTCTGAAAAAGCTCTTTCTAGAACTCTATATTAGTTTTAATAATCTGTCCTTCAATTCAGTTCAAATTGAAAAATAATCTATTGATCCCAGAGTGAAATTAGGTGTTGTAACTCGTTTAACTAAAGACTTATTGTAGATGCTGGTGGCTGTGGGCAGGAAAGATCTTCTGTAGCGGTCTGTATTGCAATGAAACTGAAGAAGCCTCCGACTGAAGACCCTCGGCTTTTCTATGACAATCTGATGAAAAGGACGGTCAGGGTTGTTCACAATGTTCCTGATTTATGTAAAATCCTTCTTTGCACCATGTCATGCAGATATTTCTATTTCAAGTGTGTATTATTATACCGTGATCTGAAGACAATTTACAAACTGTCGATAATTTTCACACCAGTGGTAATTCAATTGACCGTTCTTCTTTTTGTTTCTTATGAGCAGATGAGAAAGAAAACAGGTGCGTGTCTGTTTGACCACAGCGCCACTCTGTCTTCGTCAACATAATATTCTCCCCAAAAGAAATGTTGTGCTTTCTATGGAGGACTAATCTGCCATAACTGGAAATACATAATCAAACGGCTTGATAAAATAAATGAATGGCTGGTGAATTAGTAATTAAGTAATAATGTGGCAATTATTTGCATAAAAACATCAACAAATAAGAGTTTAATTAATTTATTTGACAATACAGTGCAGAAAATTATATATTATTAATTTAAGTTGCACTGTATAGTCAAATAAATTAATTAAGCTCTTATTTGTTGATGTTTTTTTGTAAATAATTGCCACGTTATTACTTAATTACTAGTTTATCAAGCCATTTATTGCTTTTATCAAGCCGTTTAATTATTTATACATGTATTTCCAGTTATGGCAGATCTAGTCCTCCATACTTTTCTGACACAAGAGACCTGGTTTTCTTTTGTTTTGATTTCACACACAGCTGAACGCTGAGTGTAAACTGGTAGAAGCCAGTTAGAATTAGTGCTGAGTTGGATTTTGCTGCAGCTGGAACCTCCAGGACCTGCGACAGCCAGTTCTGTTATCAGTCCATTAAATGGACGTTATTAGCGGTTATCAGTCCATTAAATGGACGTTATTAGCGGTTATCAGTCCATTAAATGGACGTTTTTAGTAGTTATCAGTCCCATAGAATGGCTTCAGACTGTCCCGACAGTGCCCCCTAGTGGGTTAACATATCAATGACAGGGACATTCTGAAGCCATTCCACGGGCCTGCTAACGACTAATAACGTCCATTTAATGGATGATAACATCCGAAGCGGGTGCCTGAGATGGACGAGTCAATCATCTGAGGGACACGTAATTTTCGATTACTAAATGAGAAGTTTATGCCGACCCGGCGGGATCTGATAAGGCTGCTTTGTGACGGGAAGCCAAGCCGTCTCAGTGAGTTCGTATGAGCCTCTCTGTAATGACCTCAGGGCAGTCCGGCACACCGAGCCTTCACCTCCAAAGAGACACTGTCTCCAACTTTGGTGATCTGATGAACTGTACCTAATTTAAGGCATTACACGTGAAGTGTTCCCAGAACAGTCCTGGTTAATCAGCCGGTGCAACTTTGATATAATTCTTCTGATCTAAGATTAAAGTTACTAATGAATCATAAACTTATGGGTTTGAACCTGGGTCTCTTGTTAATTAAGTAACAGTAGAAACATATTTTCTTAGGGAAAAATATTTTTTCATTCTAAAAAGGTTTAAACATCCAGACCGCATGTAACATGAAGTCTACAATAACGTTCACCTTTTGACTGTTTTAAAATCCTTATTGCTTCGTCTTTCATGTTGTTATTTTTACTGTTTACAATCATGATTCAATTAAATTGATTCTTGCCAAATTTTTGTAATAAATTACCATAAAAGACAAAGCTGGTTCCTCATCTCTGAGTTTTATGACCTGAGATAAGAATTCCCTGCCTATCATACGAGCACACACACCTTAGTAAATATGAGTCTGATTAAAAAGGGTGAGTAAATATTGGTTAATAACCAACCTGGTAAAAGTGAAGGACAGAAATAGTTGTCATAATTTGTTTCTCTCATAACAACCCACGACACATGTGAAATTTGAAGATTTTTTTTCCTTGTTTCGTTAATCACATGGAGGTTTACTGATTGTTTGAAGAATGAAGGAGTGGAAATCATGTGTTTCTTGCAAACATAGGAAGAACAACATGATTTGTCTGTGATTTGCACACCAGTAAAGTAAAATGAAAACAATAACCACATCTTATCTTGAAGAAAAACCCTTTGCAGGATCAAAAGTGAATCTGTGTCAGTAAAATTTGCTTACGATTTGACTGCGTATGGAAATGAAAAGTAACCAAATTGGCAGCAGCAGTAAATTTAAATTTGGTGCTGGACCTTGGATATATCTGAATGAAGAGTTCTCCGATTATTACTAACAGCTCTCTATTTATGATAGAACACTTTGAAACTGTAAAAAGTTCTCATGTTGCAAAAAATATACTGAGTTTGTTTTTTTTTTATAGTCAGCCAGCCCTGCGTGTGGAAAAGGATGTTTTGAAGTTGTTGAAATTGGTCATGGTAAGTTACAGTTGCAAATCATTTCCTGTTTTTATCTATGCAAAACCACATATCATGACAATGCTTAGCATTTAGCTGCTGCTGCTGACAAGATCTTAGTGTTGTAATAAACTAGGTCACAGGTAGCTGAGATCCCCTGAGTGTGTGTTCATTAGGAATATTTAGCTGTCACTATTACATGTACAAAAACACAGTAATACAAGTCATTTGTTTTGACATCTCTCATTTTCTGAGGCTTTACTTCCAGGCAAAGGAAGGGGCACAGTGRGTCTGAACCAGAGAGACTAACATGAAAAGATTTTGACACTTTAATAACATGACAACATGTGAACCATTGGAAAGAGATCCAGGAAGTGGTTACAAGAAGACGCTGTTGGAGTGCCTAGAGCAGSATCACATTCTGAACAAGGTGAGGCCGCTCCTTGTTTGTATGGTTTACTCGAAATTCACAAACATGACGTACCGGTTTGACCCTTTCGTCATGGTTAACTCTGTCACTCAAAATGTTTCCCAAAATCTGGGGTCTGTGCTTTGTTCTTTAGCTGGCAATTCAAAACATCGCATGCGGAGCACCGTGGACGTTGTGGACACAAGCGAGGGATGCCATCGTGGAGATCACTCTTCACGTGTCTTCTTGTTGATGAGGCAGTGGATCTGGTCTGTGCACGGTTAAAATCAGACACCCCTCTCAGCAGCAGAACCACTGTGCCAACTCCTGAAACTGTGCCTGGAGTCAACCTACATATAGGGGGCAGTATTATAAGCAGAAACATGGGTGTGCTGTGGGCTCCTCACTTTCCCCTATTGTTGCAAACCTGTACATGGAAGAGGTAGAAAAGAGAGCTCCGATGTCCTTTTCAGGTATGTTGATGACACCTGGGTTAAAATTAAATCCCAGGAAGTCCAACATTTCACTGTTCACATCAACTCCGTGGATAAATATATAAAGTACACACGAGAGATGTAAAAGATGTAGTTTGACTCCCATCACCCACTAGAACACAAGTTAGAAGTAGAAATCACACACAAGACAAACTGGGTTTTCCTGAGACTATAGAAAYCCAAACAGGATTCCAGTCAACCGGGTAAAAATGAAGAGCCCAGACCCAGACCAGTGGTCATTCTATATGTTGTGGGAGTTTCATTGAAACTGAGACGTTTATTCTCTAAAGATGATGTCCCAGTAGCTTTCAAACCCCAAAACACATGCAAAGACTGGTTTACCCCAAATATTCAGTTCCCCAGCACAAGCAGAGTAATGTTGTGTATGCTGTTAAGTGCCAGGAGGACTGTGACACTTCAGGGAAACAAAGCAGCCACTGTTCAAAATAATGAGCCAACACAGAAGAGCTACATCATCGGGCCAGGATTCTGCAGTTTACATTCAGTTTACACTCATCTACAGGCCAGTAGTCACTCTCTCCATGTGGAGGCAATAATTATAAGGCTGAGTTTACCTCTCTTTTGAAGGAAAGACAAAATGTTTCATTAAAGAATAAATCATCCAGAGGACCTACTTAATATTTTTGGACAGATTGTTGCCTTTTTTTTTAGCTGAATCTATAAAACAACAACAATAACAGCAACAACAACAACATAACAATACTAATCTTTGATGTGTAAAATAGTACTTAACATGTTGATTTTCAAAGAGCTAGCTCGATTTTTGTCTAGACTTAAATTTTTACTGCGGTCTGGTCTAAAATTCTTTTTATCCAATTTTAACCACTGATCTGGGTCCCCATAAGGTTTAATTTGGGTCCAGTTCTAAACCACGGACCTCCATTTGGGGACCCCAAAATATAAGAGCAACATTAGACTCTCAGTAGGACATGCTCGTTACAAAATACATAAAAGGTGGCAACAAAACAACAACGATTAACAAACAAATGACATAAACAGATTTAAAGGAAGTTGCAAGCTGTGTGTTGTATTGTTTGTCAGCTGTACTTTTATTTGTTCCATTAGCTTAGACATTACCTAAACAGTTCATGTTTTTATTACGAGAGAATTTGGTCATTCTTTTCTTCAAAAAAAGTGCACCGACAAAGGTTTAGTATGGTTTAAATACAGTTACTCGGCCATGTTAAAGACGTTCAAAAGTCATTGTACTCATGCAGTGCAAAATATCTAAATGTTAAAGAACATCAGTTTAGCTGCCAAGTGCAAAACAAATCATAAAACACAGAAACCACAACGGCTCACTCGTTCTCTAATGTGATAGCCGATGACAAGAAAACGGAATATATTATTGTGCCAAATTCCCTACAGAAACAGACATAAAGGGAGCCTACAATACCATTTTAATTCTATATTCAAGTATTCTAATAAAATCATCCATATCGTCAAACTGTAAGTGCAGTTTTAGTTCATGCTGAGAGGAAGTTTTTTTTGTTTGTTATCGATTGAGTCTCTATTTGCACAGGAAGGCACTCCAGCAATGTCACGTTTGTTTCTTGAAGTATTCACAGTATCACGTCCAAATGAGTTCGGCTGTAAAGGCTCTTTTTAAAAAAATCTTTGCTACATTGATGACTGGGATTGCTTTGCAAGTTCAAACAACTGAAGCAAATAAATTTGATTTTTTTTAACCCACTGCAAAACATGAGAGTGTTTTGAAACTGGACTCTAGAGGATTAAAGTGGCAGTTTGGACATTTTATTATGATGTGTAAGGTGGTACAGTCCAATTAAATAAACAGTATCAGTCGTAAAATCAGGAAAATGTCAAATTATTTTAAATGAGATGAAAAATGGAGCACGACCATCGTGTCAGGTGAACACATCTTATTAAAAGAAGTGCTCAGAGGCTCGTTAAAAAGCTAAAGGTCTACCTTTCCATAAAGGAATGCACATCACCTGTCACTCTTCACAACAGAGTTTTAACAAATAAGGTTGTGGACATTTTGGTTGTTTATTTTTGCAACGCGTTAGTGTTTGGACATAATTGGGGACAACCTTCTCCAGGTTTCAGCTAAATTTGTAAAACTGATTGAGGTGTTTTTTTAATTAAATAACTAAGAATTAAAGTTAATCATGTTGGTGAGCATTTACTGATAATTTGCAATAAAATCTGTTTGTTAGTGAGATAAACAAGGGGAGAAACATTATTAAAGCTTATAATGGTGCATCCAAAGAGAATTAAGTTAAATATTGTGATATGTGATGAACGCTCCTGTGAGCTCACTAAGTGTTAAAGTGTTTTCTTCCTCAGGTCCACCTGCCCGTTTTCTCCGCTTGGACACCTTCCATCCTGGGCGCACCTGACCCTGAGCAGGACGTCGGACAGCACGTCCTGGTACAGGCACAGGCACAGCCACCCGGGCAGGTACAGGAGGGTGATGAGCCCCATGAAGTTGTGCGGGTAGTGGGAGTAGTCCCAGGAGCAGGCGCCGAACTGCCTCAGGACCAGACCCCAGGTGAGCTCCCAGGCGTAGGGGAAGCAGATGTAGACGGGGAGCCTCCGCAGCGTCCCCCACCCGCGGCCGAAGCGCAGCCGGTAGTAGAGCTTCTCCACCACGAAGCTGCAGCTGCCGTACATCAGGAAGGACCACAGGGACGTGTGGCCCCCCAGGGTCCGGTCGGACTTCTCCGCCAGGTTGAAGAGGGCGGTGAAAAGCACCTCGTCCAGAAAGCCGTGCATCCCGAAGAAGAGGAAACGGGCGAAGCCGGGGAGACCGCGAGSACCGGCGCCCCCCCGCAGGCTCCTCCAGTGGCGCTCCGCGGAGGAGGASGGGTGATACTGCAGGTGGGACATGCCCCTGTGGAACACCTGAGAGAAGTACAGAGCCAGGACGTAGTGCGCCGCCAGCTGCGTCCCGGACACCAGCCGCACCTGCTCGGTCAGGGTGCTCACGTTCCCGATCAGGATCTGCAGCCCGATGTAGACGGACGGGTAGAAGATGAAGTGGAAGATCACGGGCCGAGCTCGGAAGCACCTCTTCTGGGTGTAGATCTTCTCCAGCGCGAAGTGGGTCAGCGCGTGCATGACGCACAGGTACGGGGAGGAAAAGCCCACCAGCTTGGGGTCTTTGTGGTTGACGACCCCCTGCAGGGACGAGAGCAGGACATCCAGGGTCACGCCGTGCATCCCGTAGAGGTACAGCCGCATCCATCGCGGCAGGTCCCGCAGAGACTCCTGGGCTTCTTCGCTCTCTCCGGGCGGCTCTTGTTGCCGGGGCATGGCGGCTGTCTCTAAGCCGCTGTCACGGTCCCTGGAGCTGCCGGGAGGACCGTCTCTCCCCCGGCCGGCCATGATCCGTCACTCAGCGTGGAGAGGCACCGTGCTTGTCCTCTTCTTTGACATTGTTGTCTGTTTTCCGCTGCTGCAGACAGCATCYCCTGACAGCCGCTGCTGCGTTCACGTGCACTCCGGAAATCTCAGCTCTGACAAGCCAGTCTGAACAAAGCCGACCTTGTAGAGATTGATCGCCCAATTTTAATAAGTCGTACACATCAAAATGTTTTGATGGATTGGAAATAGTGGGTCATGACGTCATTTTTTAGGTCACATATTGTGATCACTTCAATAAATAAGTAAATAAATAAATAAATAAATAAATAAATAAATAAATAAAAACTTTTATTAATATGGCACTCTTTAAAATCTTTTTCAGCAGACTTTCTTTATTTTTGATGTCCTGCAGTCACTTTAAATCACCATTGTGTCACTTTTAGCTTTCACTGTTTGGATAATCTATACTGTTTTGCTTATTATTACCTTTAACTTCTATTTGTATTTACAGTTTTGATAATAATAGCACCTGCTTTGGTATTTTTAGCTTCGACGTTTGTTTTAGCAACAGTTGTCCCAGTTTTAGCTTTTGTTTAYTGAACCTGTATAGCTTTTTTTTGCTACTATTTTGCCAATTTAAAGTTAATTGCTTTGATAATTTTAGCCACTGTACTGTTTTGCTCCATTTAGCTTTTAGCTACTTTTTGCTGCTTAAGGCTTTTTGCTGTTTACAACTGTGTTATGTTGTTTGCAGATTTGAGCTTGTGTTTTGCCACCTTTTGCTTGTATTCTGCTCATTTTAGATTTTTGTTCTGCTTGTTTTAAACTCAGTTTGAGCTTGTTTATAAAAATTTCAGCACTCAGTGTTCACATTGCAGTTTGGCAGAAAATGCAATTTTCTCTAGTTTTTGTTCTAATAGTTTGAGCAAATTCTCTCCTAAGAAGATAAAAACACACTTACATCATGTGGCGAGGTGTAAAAAAGAGTCAAAACATAAAATAACAGAAGACACAACAGAGAAAAACAGAATTCTGATGATGACAAACCTTAAATAAATAAACAAACAAACAAATAAATAAATAAATAAATAAATAAATAAATAAATAAATAAATAAATAAATAAATAAACAAATCTTAACATAGCCTACTTCCTCTTCACAGTCGAGTTTGTCTTTTACAAGCCAAAACAGTGACCATGAAGTAAGCACAAAGGGGTCGGACAAATTTCCAATTACATCTGCACGCAGCATAATGATGGAGTCAGGATGTCTGAGGCTGACGCAGCGAGCTCACAACCCCCTGTGACGTCATGACGCTGCTGTAATTACAAGCCATTACTGCTGATTACAACAGATTACTGGTAATGCTAGGATACATAGACTAATTGTAAAAGACAAAAATATAGATAGATAGATAGATAGATAGATAGATAGATAGATAGATAGATAGATAGATAGATAGATAGATAGATAGATAGATAGATAGATAGATATGATGCTCAGTGTACTACAGAACAAATAGAAAGCCTGATTTTTAATGCTAAAACGCTGTAAACAAGCCAATTAATGCCAAAAATCCAGTAACACATTATCATGCATGTGCACCTTTTTCTGCAGATGTTAATCCCAACCTTAATCTTTTGCACAAACTGCGGTCAYAAAGGAGCTGCAGTGCGCCTGATCAACCACATGAGGGCACTGCTGAGTTTGTGAACAACTGCAGAAAGGAAGGATCTGTACCTTTTTCCTGCAGAGCTTGTGAAATACAAGAACATGCAACCAAACAGTCCTCATTAAGATGCATATTTTAAAAATAAATTCTGACTGTTGTTTTAATAGAAAGCGTGTTTAAAATGTTATAGTATGTTCTCTCCCTCTGTTTGCTTCTATGTATTTATATTTAGCTCATTTGCACTCTAATTGCAGTGAAATTCAAGAAGTGCCTGTTTGTTTCCTGTTATTTTTAACAGTATGTGTTTATATTCACGAGAAGCAGATATATCAATGAACTTTAGGGGAAACTCCAAAGAGTTTTCAAAGGGGAACCCAAACTATTTCAGTAGTTTATTATCTCTGATAAAAAAAGGCTATTTAAAAAAATTGCAATATTAAAGTTAGGGAACACTCTTCTAATATAGGTCTATTTTTAAATTTATTTTACATCTGATATTCCACGCAGTTCTTCTTTGTGTTGCTTTAACATATTTGTCCACTAGATGGCAGCAATGGAGCACAATCTTTGATGCTACGTGTGGACAACCCCCTTTTTCAGTTTTTTTAAGTCACAAAACCACAATAATGATGCTTTTTGCCAGAAGTGAAATATAATGACTAAAAGGCTCAGTGATTATAAGCTTTCAGCAGTAATTGCCATTATTGTAAATGCTCTCCACAGTGCGCTGACTTAACTCTGTACAGTCATTGTACAGTGTTATTCAAACATTTTGAAATCACATTTGTAGTTTCTGAATGGTTCTGACCTATAAAGCCGTAAATGTGCAAGAAATATCCCCATCAAACACCCGATAGCTTCCGCTCAGCCGCTAACCGAACCCCTCTCTGCTCTGCCGTGTGCTGTTTAAGCTCGTTACAGCTGTGAACAGCTGGAAGATGAAGTTATCGGATACTTGATTGATGCGAAGCTTGACCCAGTCACACAGGAAATGAATGGGTGTCTGCAGTCGTGGACTTGAAATGAGCACCCCCCCCCACCCCCACTGAAAATGGGATGCTTGTTTGTCTTTGTGTCTATGGTGTATAATGATGTGATTGTGATGAGTCAGGCTTGATTTTTAGTAATCTTTTCCTGTTGAATCAATAAATCAAGTCAAATCAAATGAGAATGTAATTTCAGAATCCATTTCCTTCAATTTGAGCTGTTATTGAATGGACCTCTGGCCCTGTGCTCTCGTATTGTCTCCCAGCATCAGGTTTTGGTCGGATCATGTGTTTGTGCACCTAAGCTGCAGCTGTGTCC